GCGCGTCGTGCGCTGCCTGCTGGAGCGCGGCGCCTCGGTCAACAACACCACGCTCACCAACTCCACACCACTGCGCGCCGCCTGCTTCGACGGCCACCTCGACATCGTCAAGTACCTGGTGGAGCACCAGGCCGACCTGGAGGTGTCCAACCGCCACGGCCACACCTGCCTCATGATCTCCTGCTATAAGGGCCACAAGGAGATCGCCCAGTACCTGCTAGAAAAGGGTGCCGACGTCAACCGCAAGAGCGTCAAAGGTGAGGGCGGGGGGCCAGGCAGGTGTGAAGTGGTGGGGGGGGTCACCTAGTATGGGAGCAGGGCTGCAAGGCGCCTCGGGGGAGCATCTGGTTCGACCCTGCAGATGTAGAGCTGGAAGATCCTCTAGTCCAACCAGGGAGCAGGGGTCCTGCAGGCTGAGGGCTGGAAGGGGCCTCAGGGATCCTCTACGACTGAGGATCCTCAGACAGGGTTGGAAGGGACCTCAGGGACTGCCTAGTCCCACCCAGGATTAAGTATTGTGCAGACACAGGGCTAGAAGGGACCTCAGGGATTGTCTAGTCCAACGGGGGACTGAGGATCCTGCAGACATAGGGCTAGAAGGGACCTCGGGGACAGTCTAGTCCCACCCAGAATCAAACCTTTGGCCTTGGGATTATTAACACCAAGATGTAACCAGCTGAGCTCAGAAGGGACCTCCGGAGGTCACCTAGGTCTAGGCCAACCCCCTGCTCAAAGCAGGACCAGCTCCAGCTAGATCATCCCAGCCAAGGCTTGGTTGAGAGGCTTAAAAATCTCCAAGGATGGAGAGTCCGCCACCTCTAGGTAACCTGTTTCAGTGCTTCACCACCCTCCTAATTAGAGAGTTTTTTTCTAATATCCAACCTAACTCTTCCTTACCGCAACTTGAACCAGTTGCTCCTTGTTCTGTCACCTGTCACTGCTGACAGCAGTGGAGCTCCATCCTCTTCCTAACCACCCTTCAGGCAGTTGAAGGCTGCTGTTAAATCTCCCCTCTGGCTTTTCTTCTCCAGTGAGTCTCAACCAGGGGTGCCGTGGGCACGCCAGACAAGCCCCCAGGCTCCACATCAGACCCCAGCATGTTTAGAGAAGCACTTCGCCCTGCACTAGGAGAGTGGAAATGACAGAGACATGTAGTCAAGCGGAAACAAAGTGCTGGCACTTCTTGAGGGGGGCATCGTAGTCTCAAAAAGGTTGAGAACTGCTTTCTTCAAAACTAGGTGGTTTTAGGGGTGTTTGGGCGGGGCTGGGGAAGGTGGTATTTGGGCAAACATTTAGGTACCTGGAAGCTGTAAAACCCTAACAAGTTGTGAATGAAATGCTAACTTCAGTTTCATGCTGGACTTGGGCCATTTCTGTGATCAAGCCGTGGGAATATTTATGGACTATCAGATAGCCTTCTTGGGAGGGGAGAAGGACAGACAGTCCACAAATAGTCATACTACTGAAGTTAGTGTTTTGTTTATAATTTGTCTGGTGTTTGCAACTTGCAGGTATCCAACTGTTGGACAACCTTTTTTGGGTGTGGGGGGGAAGGCTAGCGAGGGAGGCAGGTAGACCACAAGTAGTCATCTGACTCCACCATGTAAATGTTAAAAGTCCAGCCAGAAACTGAAGTTAGTGTTTTGTTTATAATGTTAGGTGTTTATAATGCCCAAGTACACAACTGTTGGACAAACTGTTTTTTTGTGGGGGGGACGGGGGGAGGAGAGTTTTGAGAGTTCACAAATATTTGTCTGGCTCCATCAAAGTCCAGCAAGAACCTGAAGTTGGTGTTTTGTTTATAACTTGTTAGGTATGTACAACTTCCAGGTACCCAGCTATCGGGTAACCTTTTTGAGGTGCGGTTGAGAGGGAGAGCAGATAGTCCACAAATATTCATTTGGTTCTGTCATGTAAATGTTGAAAGTCTAGCAAGAAATTGAAGTTAGCACTTTGTTTTATAATTTGTTAGGTGTTTATAACTTTCAGGCATCTGACTATTGGGGAACCCTTTTTTTTGCAGGGAGGGAAGATAGTTCACAAGTAATTGTCTGGTTCAATCATGTAAACATTCAAAATCCAGCAAGAAACTGAAGTTAGTGTTTTGTTTATAACTTCATAGGTTTGTACTTCTAGGTATCTGACTATCAGGTAACTTTTTTTGGGGGGGTGGGGGGGTGGAAGGGCAGATAGTCTGCAAATATTCACCTGACTTTATAAGGTAAATGTTCAAAGTCCAGCAAGAAACTGAAGTTAGCATTTTGCTTGTAACTTCATGTATTTTTCACTTGCTCTTCCAGTAGTTTGTTAATTGCTAATGCTAGTTACCTCATTTCATTTTAAATTGGCAAATTTTAACTTGTGAAACCCAGTTCTTGAAAAAACTGGCTACGTAAATGTTTGCTCTGAACTAAAATGTGCACGGTTAGAAGGCGAATAGATTTTGGCAGGGAGAGCGTGTTCTTGAGTGGACCACGTAAGTTTTTCAGATATACAAGAATTTAAATGTGTGTGTGAAATTTGGGATGTTTCCAAGACCATTTGTTATATGCATGTCGTGCAGTGATCAAAATGAGTTAATCTTGCACCATTATGACTGGAGTAAGGAAATATTCTAATTGGTTAAGAAGGAAGCTTTCTGTATTTTTGTCATCCCTCGTTCTTGAATCCTTTGGACTGAGGCTTTTTTTGGCTGTGGCAAGGGAGAAATGTACATTAGGGTAAAGAGGAGCTCTCATGTGACCATGATCACGACAAAAAGGGTTTCTGTGGTGTACTGATCACAACAGATGTCTCTTTGCTTCTGGTTTACAATGATCCTGGCACTATTGTTCAAGCTGAAGACTTCTGTCCTTTTTGTTATGATTGTAGTTGCGTGGGCTTCTTGTCCTAACCATGGGCAATTTTCTGCTTTTTTAAATGCGTCACAATCCTACATGGTGATGGAGCTTTGTCCTGAAAGGTATATTGGCTACATAACAGGCTACTAGTGACTTCTTCTATTTTTTTTAATCCTTGATAGTTGGTCTGTATTTTATCACTTTATTTTTGGTAGGTTGAGGTAGGGAGGGATTTACTCTTTAAACTAGTGACTACATTAGGCATAGCACTTCTTACTCTTGGTTCTGGCTAATTATATTTTAACAGCATTCCAAATTTGAACTATAATTTGACAGTTGGCCCCTTTCTATTGTTTGTGGTCTTTGTAAGTTGCTCAAATGTAGAATTTGGGATTTACACTTCAGAAAAAAGCTGTACACTTTAAATTGCAAGTTAGTGAATGAAATGCAGAATACTCTGGGGAATAATATACAGCTAAAATTTAATTAATAGTAGAAATATGAATTGCACAATTTGTGGAATGGAATCACTCTAGTTTCTCCTTTTAAGAAAAAGATAACTTTCAAGGAATGAAGTCACTCATGAATCCCCCACCCTGGAATAGTTTGAGGGTAAGCATCACATTTATAGACTTGGCTCTTTCAATATACATTTTATGTTCATACTAGTAGTCTGAGAAATTATTCTTTTAAATATATGAATGCTTCATATAGTTTAAATGACTGTATGATGGAGTTCTACCTATAAGAATTTTCTTTCTGGTCTCATGTTTTCTTTTCAATTTCTGCATGATTCAAAATGTAATCACTTGAATTGGAGACCTTGCAGCATAGGCAATCTATCTCTGTTTCATGAACAAACTAAGAGTCTGGCTGGATATGATTTTTAGTCCAATAAAAGTCACTTTTTAAGGATTTGTATATGTAATTGGTCTGCCTTTTTTGCTCTTTGGAAATAGACTATTCCAGTTTACATCAGGTGGACATCCTTTCCTCATTAGCAGTAGGAAGCTGCCTGACTTTTGAAGATACTGTTGGGATGGAGAGCTTGACGAGGAATAGGAGGGCAGCATGATTTTTGTCAGTTGTGGGTGACAGCTGTGAGCCAAACTGAGAGCGTCAGAGAATCACAGTAGCCTGGAAGTTTGTAGGAAGGTCCACAGTTAATTTTAGCCTTCGGGAATTGGCCTCCTGATCTTTGATCTATAATGGGCATCACTAACCTTACTGTTCTGCCAAATGGCTTTTTCCACTTGAATTTGAAAGGAAATAGAATTTACTCTTGCCTTTGTATGGTATCATCTTTCTTGGAGGAAGGACTCGAATCTTGCCAAACATGTCTTCAGTTTCCACTCCCCTTAGCTGTATGCTAAAGGGTCCCTAGGGTTCCAGGTAAGTACTAATTAAGTACCTGGAGTGTGGGTTTTCCTATTATCCTGATAGTCCTATTATCCTGACATTAGGTTGTGCTGGATTGTGTTCTTTCTTCTTAGACTGTCTTATAACTGCTGTTGTTTTTCTATTCTTTATATATTCAAAACCATGAAAGTAAATAACAAAGCTCTGTATACATAATAAATATTAGCTCTTAATGAACTGGGATAATTCTAGAAAGATGCTGCTAAGGCATCTGATCCAGGCATTAGGTCTGTGCAAAACTTCAGTAGCTGATTCAATGCAGAGGAGATTTAGCCCGATTCAGTAACCAAATCTCTGAATCTGAATTAAATTGGGAGACCAGTTACAAGCTCCGAATCGATTTGGAAAAGATTCGGCCGATTTGGAGATTCGGCCATAGACTAAACAGGCAGCTGGCAAGTCTGTTGGGGCTGGGGGAGTGGAGGAGGGAGGGGCTGGGGCTGGGACAAGCTGCCCAGCCAGGGTGG